GCCTGTGCCAGCGCTTGACTTCAGGTTCTGTCGTATGTTATTATCATTATTACTGTTTTTTTTTTTTTTTTTTCAAGACAGGGTTTCTCTGTGTAACAGCTCTAGCTGTCCTGGACCTTGCTCTGTAGATCAGGCTGACCTCAAACTCACAAAGATCCACCTGCCTCTGCCTCCCCAGTGCTAGGATTAAAGGCGTGTGTCACCAGGTCTGGCCTTGTTATTTTAATTGTGTGTGTGTGTGTGTGTGTGTGTGTGTGTGTGTGTGCATCGGCACAGGAGGGCATCCGGCCTTTCGTAGGTGGAGTTACAGGTAGTTGTGAGCTGTCTGATGTAAGTTCTGGAACAGAATTCTAGTCCTCCAAAAGAACAGCAAGTGCTGGTAACTGCTGGACTACCTATCCAGCACCACTCTCACTACTTTTTATTTAAAATATTAATGTAACTAATTGGTTGTAGAAATTCTTTTCCTAGATGAATTTTCTGCCAGGAAATGCACATGTATATGCAGAGTCACTGGAACAGTTAAATTTACTGCCAAGGACTGGGTCAGTGAGATGGCTCTTGCCACCAAGTCCAACAACTTGAGTTTGAGCCTCACGACCCACATAGTGAAAGGAAATAACTGAGTCCTGCAAGTTTCCCTCTGACCTCCACACATGCCGAAGCATGTACACCTAAATTCACCCCTCCACACACACACAAACACACACTATAGGTTGTAATTAAAAAATTTAACAAGGAAAAAAAAAACCATTGGAAACACCCTGAATGTCTGCTGGAGTGGAAAAGTTTGTGACCCCTACAAAGAAGTGCAGTGGTATCCTGCTGGCATGGCACTGCAGTGATAGCAACTAGCCCTAACCCCCTGCTGGGTGGCACCTGGTCTAGCTCCAGAGGAGAGCTAGCATCTAGCCTAATCCATCTTTTGACCGACCGGATGATATCTTTTGTACCCTTATGTGTACTTTGTTTGGGACTTTCCCAAGAAGACAAAGGCCTATGCAAAACTTGGTTCAGGAGACGCAGAAAACTGTGGTACCTATGAATGGATACTTTGCACATGGCATTATCTTTTTGGAAGCCTCATTCAAGTTGTTCTGAGCATTTGGTAATCAACTGGCTAAAGTGTAAATATTGAGAAAAATGAAAATGCTCTGGGCATTGGGATAGTGCTTCAGTCCATTGAAATTGGGGTCACCTGCAGCCAAAAAGGCTAAACTCATTCTCGAAGTGTCTTTGAGTTTTCTTTGAGGGATTCGTGTGAACCTACACGCTCACCGTGACTTCCACCGACAAAGAAGGAAATGGATATATATATATCTCCCCCTAGGATGATGTCTTAGATATATTGTTAAAGGAAAAAAAAAACACCACGATGCATTACAATGTATTTTAAAGAAAGTGAATATAAGATGCTGGCAGTGTAGCTCAGTGATAGAGCCTGTACTTGACACATGCAGGGCTCTAGACTCACTCTCCACCAAAAGTTGTTTGGGTTTTTTTGTTCCTCCCAGTCAGGGTTTCTTTGTGTAGCCCTACTTGTCCTGGAACTAGCTCTATAGACCAAGCTGGCCTTGAACTCAGAGACTCACCTGCCTCTGCCTCCTAAATGCTGGGATTAAAGGCGTGCACCATCACTGACAGACTGAAAATTAAGTTTTTTGTTTTTTAACGAATTTAAAGTACATTCACACACCACAGGCCTCACTATTTATATAAGGGTTACAGCTGAAAGACAAGCTATGAGCCAGAGGATGATCTAGAAGATAGAATCAATCCCAGGCAGGAAGGAAGTGGCTTTCCCACCACATCTCTACTGTTTTAATGTTTTTCTTTGTGTAAATATTTCTGTTTCTCAATAATTTTTTGGTTTTATCTTTTGAGAAAAAGCATATGATATCCTGCTGTTTTATAATGTTCTCCACTTCCTAACAGGCTCTCCTACAAGTTTCTTCCTCAGAGTCCTCAAGGATAACATTACAGTATTTGTCCCTTTCTGAGAGTCATTTTACAGAAAGAGACATGTTCTCTGGGCCTCAGAGTTGCTGTGGTGCAGGAACTTCTATTATGGTTTAGTGAGAGGCAGGGGCTTGGGCAGGGAGTGGCATGGCCAGGCCGGGCAGGACTAGTCCTACTGGCTCAGTTGTCTCAGCATTTCTCCATGATTCAGTAACTTCACTGGGACACATGGCTTTTAAAGAGGTTTTAGTAAATGGTAATGAAGAGAGAATTCATGTGAATTAGTGTGAGGAGAAACGTGTGTGTGTGTGTGTGTGTGTGTGTGTGTGTGTGTGTGTCATTAACAAGTGTTACCTCGGGGGCTGTTGGGAGAAACGCAAACAGAGACAGGGCCAGAGGAACCCCTTCAAGCCCTGGTTTTTTGGAAGCCTGCCTAGCTGAAGGCTGAGAGCTGGAGGTCAACAACGAGAGCACAGCAAGACCCTGTCTCAAAGTGAACACATTTAATTGGGAGTGTGACACACACCTGTAGTTCCTTTGAAGGGGGAGCAGAAGGGCCAGGAGCTCAAGGTCTTTCTCTTCTCAGGCTGATCTGTCCTTGAGTGGAATCCAGAGGCCAGAGGCTTCTCCTAAAAGATGATTTACAAAGTCTCTCTCTCTCTCTCTCTCTCTCTCTCTCTCTCTCTCTCTCTCTCTCTCTCTCTCTCTCTCGTGTGTGTGTGTGGGGGGGGGGGTTTTGGTTTTTAAGACAGGGTTTCTCTGTGTAGCTTTGGAACCTATCCTGGTACTTGCTCTGGAGACCAGGATGGCCTTGAACTCACAGAGATCTGCCTGCCTCTGCCTCCTGAGTGCTGGGATTAAAGGTGTGTGTCACCAACGCCCGGCTCTTATTTTTTTTTTAAACAATACAAATGCTTTATTCAATAGTTGCAGGTCATCATGGGACAAGTGGTGGATATACAGGATCCAGCAGCAAGGTCAGCATAATCTCTGAGCCTCTCTTTCTGACTCTAATAGGATGCGCACAACACCCTCCCAAACAGAGTGTTTGACATTTCAAATGATAGAGCAGCTGGTGTCATCCATAAATTCCATGCACACTTTTGTGCACTGTCCCTGGGAACCGGTCCTGCCCAGCACTTTGTTACCCTAGCCAGCTTGATGGGCTGCACGAGACTCGTGTCCATGATGGTGGTGATCTGGCGGAGAGGGGATGAAGTCTCTCTCTTTTTTTTGTTTTTGGTTTTTTGAGATAGGGTTTCTCTGTGTAGCTTTGGAGGCTATCCTGGCACTCATGCCTTTAATCCCAGCACTTGGGAGTCAGAGGCAGGCGGGTCTCTATGAGTTCGAGGCCAGCCTGGTCTACAGAGCGAGTGCCAGGATAGGCTCCAAAGCTACACAGAGAAACCCTGTCTCGAAAGACCAAAAAATAAGGGTATTTAATAGGGAAAAGCCTTACTTACAGAGCGAACCAGCCAGCCGGTGGTAGTCTGTCAGCAAGCAGCAAAAAGAGAAACCGAAACCGAAACCGAAACGCAGTCCCCCTACTCACTCTGGCCCTCACAAGCCCTCAGGTACTCTTGTAGCCAGCCCCTAAGAAGGCGTGGCTACAGCTTCCCCTACAATTCCCCTTTTAGTCTAAAAGAGGATTAAAACTTAACAGTAAGAAGATACAACAATCTGCTTATGTCACCTCCTAACTATTTTAACTAAACCCTAAAGTCATCTGAAAGAGGTGTCCAAGCCTGAACACCTCCTTCCAATCGAACCATAAACAATAGGAAGCTATTCCTAACTAGGTATATACACTATCCTAAGTGACAACAATGGGGAAAGGGGGCGTAGCATTCTCCAAGTTAATTCCTGCTGAACTGGGACGATGATAGTCATGTGGGGTCCTGTAGAAAGAAAATGTTAGTATCCAGTCCATGTTAGATGGGATTTACTTGATTGAAGATCTCGCTTGAAATCCTCAACTTGTCAGTACCCGAACCTCTGGCCGGAGTGTCAGTTGAAATGGAGCAAGTTGGATCCAGTGCAGTCGAGGAGGTGTGGCCCATTTTCTTTCCAGGGTGTCCAGGGATTGCTGTCAGGCAGGTCTTCATTGGCTGTGTGGGACTCAAACATAAACAGTTAGCAGAGAAATGTTTGCTTGTGTATGTACACATGCTAGGGAATGCAACCATGAGAGCATAACAATTATGAAAGGGTGTACACCTTGAGAGAAAGATCCAAGAAAAGACAAAGACAGTCCCCAAATTCTTCTTTTATTCTGTATTACATCAATTGGCTTCTTGATACAACACAGAAACACTAAAGCTTAGTTAAATAATGTGCTTGGATTTCAGAGGAGGAAAGCCAAATCCACCTCTAAATCCAGCATTGGTTTAATTGAATAGGGACTAGGAAATAAAGAGAAATAGAGTTTTTTGAGAGACAGCTGTAAAGTTTACCGTATGGCACATTCCTTCTATTTGATGGTTATAGCTACCTTTTCTTCTTAAGTATCTACCCATGTAGTATCCTTTGCCTTCTGAAGATGAGTTTTCCTGTGAAGATAAAAGGAAAACACTTCCCTTTTCTTTGGGAGGTTTGTATTTAGTTTATAAGATATACCTCGTGTCCATGATGGTGGTGATCTGGCGGAGAGGGGATGAAGTCTCTCTCTCTCTCTTTTTTGTTTTTGGTTTTTTGAGATAGGATTTCTCTGTGTAGCTTTGGAGGCTATCCTGGCACTCACGCCCTTAATCCCAGCACTTGGGAGACAGAGGCAGGCGGGTCTCTATGAGTTCGAGGCCAGCCTGGTCTACAGAGCGAGTGCCAGGATAGGCTCCAAAGCTACACAGAGAAACCCTGTCTCGAAAGACCAAAAAA